TTTCTGCAGGACGCCCCGCTAATTAGGCCAAAATTTCGGTTTGATCCGAGCTGGGCATGTTGTTCTTTTTCGCTCTCGGTCAGTCAGAGGCTATTTCAAAACTAGGATAATTTTCGGAGTGAATCTCGTGTCCTTAATGGTCGGTTAAAAAAAAAACAATAAACAAAAACAAAACAAAAAACACGTTTGACTGAAATGTCTGTGATTTCCAACGTTGAAATCCCTCGCCTATTTTGTCCACGCGATAACCTGAACGCGTTTGCGTGCCTCGTTTACATTCGAGTCCGTTTTTAAGATGCAACCACAGACTCAAAGGCAAAGGTGCGCTTTTGCAAAGACCTGGGTCCGCAGGCGCTTGGCTTCCATGAAAGAGCTGATGCGCTACTTGATCCCAGTGGTCAGGCTGAACATAAGAGGGCGCTCCCATTGCACCTGGCTGTGCTGCCCTATCCACCCTAGACACACGGAGCCGGACACCAGCCTCTCTCGTGGGTTCTGCAGCGGTATACAGCGCAGGCTCAACTGTTACATTCGATTGATTATTGAGTGAGGGAAAGGGGGAAAAAGAACAACAAACATGATTTTAAGAAAATTGTATTTTCTCAAAATTTCAAATTATTCCGCATCAGTAAGTTGTACCTTTTTATGAAAAATAATAATATATTGAAAAGTTTTTAAATGTCTGTATTTACAGTTAAGATGGGTAACCTGGGCTCCAGTCTTTCTAGCCTATTATCAGCCCAGCTGGGGTCACTGAGCGGAGGATCGAACCCGCGGGCCGTGCGTGTGGCGTCTTTTAAATGTGTCATTAACATCTTCACTAAAAAGAAAAATCAATTTAATTTTCGTGGTTAAAAAAAAAATATTTGTGTTGTTTCCCTTTGTGTCTCAGCCTGAGCTTCGAGTCCACACGCAATTTTTATTTATATTTTCACAGCATAAGCTCGCTCAGTCGGTTTCCTTAAGAATTTCCTGATGCCCTTTTCATATCTGTTTACCATAGCCTGAACACATGACTGACACTCCTCTTGTTAATATTGCAGCCTATGAACATCTTAAATCCCTAAATCCTTCGGAATATAATGGTCGTTATCTCTTTATAAAGTTATATGACTTTTCTCGATAGCAGCTTTCATCTTTAAATACTTTCACCCCTGCTCATTTCCTCTGTTTCCCTTTGTGCTTTGTCTGGGATTCCGAGTGCATGGCGTACACGCGCGGGCACGCGTAACACGGGAGCACGGTAGCCGATCTGTTAAATAAAGTAAATGTAATTTAATTTGAACACATTAAAGTAAATATTTCTAAAAGCTGACAAGTGCTACACGTGGGTCTCTGACAACCATCACAGAGTGCCGGTCCAAGCACGTTAGTGACGATTATTGGGGGGGGGGGGGGTTTTGCCTTTTGATTGCCCGTTTTTGTTTTTTGCAGTCCTTCATATGGTCAAGCACTTTCATGTGCTCCGCATCTACGGAGAATTTTGCATTTTTAAGCTCCTCTGCCTTTCTTTGTCATATCCACGGGCTGTCATAGCCACAGGTTGTGTTGAATTTGCAATGCCACTCATCGATGTATGCCTATTGAGGCTGGCACGTGGACAGTTATCCTTCCCACTGAGAGGCGCAATTGAATGGTGGTAACACAAAAGCTTCAGACCCTGTCAGTTCCCCCTTTTTCTCTTTTCAGTGATGCATAGGCCCTAAAAGCATCAAGGCCTCTGCCTGACTGCTCTGCCTTTGATTTAGCCTACACTATACTCAATATGGTCGCTGATGGAGTAATATCAATCAGGCCTTTGCATAAATTTGTAAACTGAAGTTTGCATTGTTAGGCTTTAGGCGACTGACTGGCTCAAAGCTGCCTCCTACAAGCCTCAAATTACACCACACTCTTTTATTATCTCGCAGCCCCTTTAACTCCTCTCGCACGCTGTTTTCAACCTATTCATTTTTACAATCTCTTCTTCCCGAGAGAGCAGACACGTCGCAAATCCTCGAGATTCCTGCAGACTGCCTCTCACACTGCAAAAATGCGAGCTGTTCGAAGGGGCGATGCAGTTGTCTTGTTTTTCTAAGAGGGGCATGCTATACAGGCGATGCCGCATTGCTTAAAAACAGGTATCAGTGCCTACCGTGGCTTGTGGAAGGCAAGTGCTGAGGAAATGCCGTGTTACAGCACACCATATATTTTACCAGCAGAGAGAGAGGGAGAGAGAGAAGGGGGAGAGACAGACAGAGAGGGAGGGAGGGAGAGAAAGAGAGCGATGGAAGGGGGGAGTTGGGTCTTGGCCATATAGGATACAATGTAAGAAGTTTGATTTTCATAGGCTCTTCAAAGGAATATATGCTATTGGATCTGTAGAAACGCCGGGTCCCATGGGGTTTCATAACCTTTCTAACCTTTAAGTCAAAGGCCCCTGGAAAATATAAAATATGGTCTAGCATTCATCTACCATCTTCGCCACTGCACCATCACAAAAGGCTAAACACATCGGCTGTGTGAGATCCTCGAAAAAAATAAATAAAAATGACACACATTAGATTTGTCTGTGCCATGCATTTCTATCCGAGACACGCGAAAACAAGCAAACAAACAAAATACATGTTCGGTAGATTTATTAACCCGGTTAAAAGTCGTTTCTTACCAAAGCTTTGTATACTGGGTACTTTGAATCTGTATGATTGGGCAATGTTTCGGCCGGGCTATGTTTGCCTTTTAACTGTTAACTCTGCGTCTGAATTCACCATATAGACCCAGGCTAACAAATCCGTATTGTTTCAATAAACATGGCACGTTGTGTTATCAGGGAAAGCTACTGCTTGTATTCAGTGGACCAGGGACTCTATATGGAAGTGTTTGCACAGAAAGTGTGCACACTAAGAGTGAGGGATTGTCCATTTCCTCGGAGAATCAACAATAAAATTATCATAACAAAGAGCACTGAGAGACTCAAAGGTTGATTTTTTGCAATGCGGTCTTTTCATTCGGAGGAAACGATGGGACATCAGTTACAGAGGAGACGTGCTTTACGGAAATATTATTAAGACAAACAAACGCAGAACCTCAACAAATTCATGTTCGGATCGATCATAAAGGCTTTCAGAATTTCCTGAACACGAAACACCTCAGGAGGAGATGAGACACTGACCACCTGGGCTTCCTGTCATACTATCAGTGTAATTATCACAGCATAGCAAATTCCATGCATACAGACCGGAGTGGACCAAACAAAAAACAAAAAAACGCCTGACACAACTCAGTCACCTTGTCACACATTTATAGTGTTATTATTATTATTTAAGAGAAGGTGCACTTATTGAACACGATGCTGCCAACAAACAAAATCAGTTTAGTAATAGATGTCTTGATAGCCTGTTTCCCCATCACTCCTCTGTGTTTCAGCAAGCCTTTCACTGATGTGCTGGGTAAGAAACAATATATGTATATTTTTTAAATAGCTACTTCAGGCTTATGCACATTATAAATAGCCTTAAAAATTAAATTAGATATAACACACATGTATATGGTTGTGGTTTCAACAAGTTCTTTATTTGGTTGGAGTTTTTTAAGAAGCTGAATTTTCTTTGCATACTGTACGAATAAAAGCAGCTCTCACGAGTTTGCCAGATTTACAGGAAAAAAATAAAAAAAATATTTAAAGCTTTTATGGGGTTCTCCTAATATCTTAAATAACAAATTATTTTATATTCCAACACTGCTATAAGATATTGTGCTGAATTTTATTTGGTCTGCAATTTGGAACTGGCTGTAACTGTAAGGACGACACGTCCTTTTCATACCTTCTCCGTCAAACTTGCATTTTGCTCTGTCTTATTCTATAAAACCAAATTTGACAATTTCACATTTCCGTCAGGTGTCATGGCTTTGTTTGCTTTATTTCACTTAAATATACGCACACACATTTTTATGCGAGTTGAGAAACACCTCATTGCTCTAAAGTTGCAGTAGACTTTCATATACGTCTCACCATTGAGCCAGTCACCGTTGTTTTAATTTGATTTGATTTTTATTTGGGAAATAAACGCAAGAATTCAAAAGGATTCCCTTCCATGTTTTTGCAAGGGTCGATCTACACGAAGTTGATCAAAGTTTGACATTTTTGAAGGCGCGCAACACCGCTGTTTAATGCCAACTTCAGTCTCTGGGCAAGTGGCTTTCCTCTTAATGCTTCAAAATGTATAAATGTACACGTACATATAACCTGTTAGTTCTAATATCCAGGGAACTAAGCATGCTCTTTTTTCCCTTTGTTTTTTGCGGGTTACAATAGTAAGCTATACCCTGGCATCCTGCATGCTGCTGTTACAGTACACTTTTGCATAGATGTGGAAATCGCTTTGAAAAAAATAATCATCCCCCCCCGCAAATGTTTATTGTAGTTCTTTGCAAACACGACAGGTCGCTGAATGGTTACAGGTACACTGTGCCGATGACTAGCAGGCGAACTTTTCTGGTCATTTCAGCTGCCGAGAGTCTGATTTGGTTTTCAATAACTTCTTTAAACGTACAATCTAAACTCACTTAAAAAAGAAGAAGAAGAAGAAGAAGAAGAAACATAACCCTCCGTGCAGCTTTGACGAGACCAAATTGGCTCGCATGGACCCAAAAGAGACTGAATAAAATAAAGCCGGGCTGCTTATGCGCTTTAAGTGGCCGAAACATGTGCATATCTTTCATTTTAAAAAGCAAAAACCGCGACAAGAAAACGTTTTCAAAAAGTGGAGGAAAAAAAAAGAGCGGAAGAAAAGCTGCGTCCGTGGCACCGGGCTTTGCCTGCTACGGCTGCCTGCTCCACTATTAACTTTCGCTGCCTTTCCTCTAATCAAACTCTTACTTTCCGCTGTTCTTAATTCCATATTTTCAATTCCTGATCATTACTTTCCTCTTTTTTTCTACTTGTATCTATCCATCCATCCCTCCCTCCCTCCTCTTTCTCCCTCCCTCCCTCCCTCTCTCTCCCGAGCTCTCTCCTTTGCTGAATCTTATTGATCCAGAAGGCGGCTAATTAGCCCTTCCCTTCGTGCCTGTGTAATGAAGCACATGCGCACTGAATTAATCACAGCCATTTTTTGCAGGAAACTAATTAGCAGGAATAAAGATCCAAAGAGTTTTTTCTTTTCAATCATCAGATCTCACTTTCACCTCTTCCTCGCTCCCTCTAACACAAGACTCATCGCCTGCTTTGCATCCAAATTATTTTTATATTGCCTTTAACAACTAATAGTACCTACTTCGTTTTTTACACTCCGCAACAACAATGATCTTTCTTTTGCCACCCTAAGCGCAAACTGACCAAAAGGGGACTGCCTTGATGGGATCTTTAGCTAAATCATCTCAATACTGGATTAAAAAGCGAGGATCACAAACCGGCAGCGAGAAATTGTAAGTTTCAACTTTGCGTTTGTCTCTTTTCCTCTGTTTCAGCGATCCTATTCTTTTCGCTGTCTGACTTATCTGAATCTCTCCTCTCCTATCTGTTCGTAGTTTTTTCGTGTAGCGGACCTGGCTATTCTCACGTTGTGAGAAAAGGCTGGCGATCACAAGTTCATTTCATGCAAGTAGTTGGTTTATTCTCGATTTTTATTCGTATCGTTACCTGTGTTTACATCAGCGTCCGTCCTCTCCTCCTCATGAATGGAAGATAAGAAATAGGCAAGACAGCGATCCACTCCAAGCAGTTGATCGTGGAGAGAGGGGGGGGATAAAAAAAAGCACGGTTTTAAAACAAATGTGTGCTTTTCGGTGGGATCGGGGAAAGGTGTAGAGGGTTTGTGGTTGTCGAGAAACGTGTTTTGAGGCACAAACGCAATGACAGAGGGCTGTGCTGAGCGGCGGACGAAGGGCAGCGGCAGCTCCACATGAGCGCTGCCCAGAAAAGGAGCTCCAAGTCCAGCTAGTGGGGTCCGTGTGTGTCCGGCAGATGGGAACATCTCTCTCTTTCTAAATTTTGACAGATTTCACACTTGCCACATCCACGGGGTTTCACCAACGTCGTGTGCTTATAAAATCCTCTTCTGGATAAAGACATTTTTGTTCTTCTCCGACACGTCTCTGTCTGAAATGGGCAATCCCTCCGCCCTGCCTTAGTTCCTCTAGCTACACTTTCCCCCCTTTACCCCACTTTGTCCATCTTTTCTTTTTTATTTTTCATAGCGGTTTGCCTCTTTCAAGCGTTGTTTTTAAGTCGATACTCGCTCATTCACTGACGGAGTCACATGCAAATCGATCGACGTGTGTGTGTGTGCGTGCATGAGCGGGTTTGTGTTTGCGGGCGCGGTGTGTGCAATGTGAATGTGGTTTGTTGAGGGAAAAACGGAGCCCAGGGTCTCCTTCGTGACAGGAGCGGATCAGCAGGACCTTGTACACGGACAGCCTGAGAGTCTGAGCAGCGCTGCACAGAGCAGACATGCATTTTAGGGAAGACGGCGACAGCCTGCGTCTTCTGCCTCGAACTACTTGGCTACCGTATCTTGACTTTCAAGAAAAGACTTTTCCCCGAGAAACGTTGACCAGAAAGACAACAACACATTGCCTCATTTGACTGACCTTAAGCAGACACTATCATTCCAAAGTTACTGCCGGAAACTTTAAGCGTGGTCCAGGCTAAACCTGCAGGTCACTGAATGCATTTAGTGATCGCTTGTAGGAATAAAAAAAAAGAGTGAGAGAGAGAGAAAAGAAAGTCAAACTGGATATCTTCAAAATAGAACAGACTGCATTGTTGAGTGGAAAACACACGCCTTTTGAAAGAGATGGTCTCAGCTGAAGAGGCCTTTTTCCCCCCAATACAGTTGATTATAGCTTTGATAGGCCAACTAATCTCCCCCTCCCAAAAAACATGAATCTGATCGGAAAAAATAAAGAAATCGGAAATTCTGTTGCCTTGACTGTAATTGAAAGATGAAAATTTCTGTAAATATCCTCAAACATAACGACTACTTTTCAGGAGGACTTGGTCTATATACGGCTTTTTAAAAAAGCGGCGAGAATGATTAGGTAATCTGCGATATATTTCGCGACACAGAGTCGGGAATAGAAAGAGAGAAAAGGGTTTTTCCGAGCGAGCAGAGGCATTGATAGGATATGTGTACCGTTTGGGGAAGCAGAAAGGGGGGTGAGAGGCTGTGTGTGTCTGTCTGTGAGGGTGGGGGGGTAGGTCAGACAGCAAGAAACGGGGGGAACAGGGGTCATGGAGTGAGAGCAGAGATAAAAAAGACAGAGAGGAAACCCCCTCGCAAACAGCCGAGGGATAATGGGGAGAGAGTGGGTCTGGCTGGGGGAACAGGGTGATGGTAGGCTAGTTGTTGGCATGTTTTGGGAGCCACACAAAGCCCGTATGGTTGTCAGCATCTGCAGGATTAAGACTTATTTTAGGATGGGAGAAACGAAAATAGATCGGTAACGGGTTTAATACAATTAAACGTTCATGTAGTCAAGAGGTTGCAAGAGAAAGCCCCCCCCCTTAAAAAGGGGGGGGGGTGCTGCTGAGGGTAGGAGTGCAGAGGGGTCAGATAGCCATGGGCCATAGAGGAGCAATCAGAGGAAGAGGTCAGGTAAACAGATCCCTACCTTTCAGGCTGTAGAGGAGCAGACAGAACGAGATTAGCACTGAGAGAGGAGAGACCAGCATTCTTATTTTTCTTTGCGTTTTTATCGATAATCTGATTCACATTTAAGTCATTTTTTTCTTCTTCTGTACTTTGTATTCCAGTGTCTTTCTGCGACTGCAACAGTAACTTTTATGTGCTTCGAATTTTAAAGGTGTTAATATAGGACAGGTAGGCTGCTGTGCCAAAACATGAGTGATCTCCCTTCCTCCCCTGCCTGACAGTTAACGCTCCACATCCTCCCTCTCTCTCCCTCTTACCTTACAAAACAAAGACAGCAGAAATGTTTACTGTCATCTCACCTGTCTGATTTTCCTGCCTTGCCTCATTGTCATATTTATGTTTAATTATAACAGTTCTAGGAAAAGGTATAGGAATGTCACTGGCTTTATTTTGTGTAATCTATTTCACAAATTGTCAGGAGCTGTGTTTGGTGTCGCTAACTGTAGTATCTCAAGCTCATCTCTGACTGTGATAGTGGAAGTATTCCGCTCAGGTTTAAAGTGCTACCAGAGTGATGTATTTACCACAGACAGCTTGTGTAGAAATATTTGAGGCCATCGTATTTATTTTGATTTGATTTCTTGTGATCAGAGTTATTTCTCCCTCTCCGTTAATATCTTTCTCAAGACTAGGTTATCATTTTTGTTTAGAAGAGTGTTTTTTGCCAAAAGCTCATTTTTAATATTTCCACAAATCCAAAACATTTCAACACAAATAGGTATGGCAAATCACCTAAGCAAAATATGAAGGTAGTATATTCCCTATGTTGACAATAAAAGAAAAAAATATATAGCTTATGGATTTATTTCCCAAATTTAATTGTAATTATTTTTATCAGAATTTTATTAGTGTTATAATTTGATCTTTTTGACATCACACGGTGGATTGTTATGTGAACGTGATGGACAAGTATCTAAATTCTTTTTCTTTCTTTGAAATCAACTGGATTTGATTTTCTTCTCCACCCCAATAGCACTGTGGTGCATTTCGTTGTGAAGCGTGATTCTGGTTGTGATTTATCGTGTACTCACACCTGGTTATTTCTGTGTTCTTTGTGTTGCGATTGTTATTCATAACATGAAGGCAATATTTGGTGTCGTAAAGCTCTGATATGATGTCAGTATTTGCTGTGGAGATGTGCAGTTGCCATTGATCTTGCACGGCAACAAATCGGTTGTCCACTGTTTGCACTTAGCCACCCCCTCATCTTCCATTACAATATTTGATGACAGGTATATTCAGAGAATTCAGGTGTCACTTGACCGAATGAGTGGGAACAGCAGGTCCAGTTTTGTAAACGAGATAAAGGGGAGTTGCAGTCATCACAGATGGGCTTGTTCCGTGGTTTGGGGGGGTAGCACAGAGAAAGGGGAGACAGCGCCTCTGGCTGTCGTAACCCCTTCTCTTCCTCTCCATCTCCCCTCTCTCTCTCACTCTCTCTCTCTCTCCTCCCTCTTTCACTTACCATCCTGTTCTCTGTGTTTTTGCGTTTCGCTCTCCTTAACTCCCACCTTTCCGTGCTTGGGCACCGGTGCCGTGGGAGAGCTCGCTGCCATGTCCTCTGTCGGAGAGAGCCCTCTTTGGGTGAAACAGTAGGCTTGGGCCATGTAGGAGACATTCAGCACAGTTTCACTTGTGTCAGATAAAGTGTGTGTATGTACATATAGAAAACAAAAATCCATCCTGATTTATGCAAAAAAAAATTCTCCATATTATTATTATTATTATTGTTATTGGACGGTTATTAAACAGTCACCAGACAGTTATTTCCTCCTTTCTGTGTATTGTCTGCATGTAAGTCAGATAGTACAATATATGTGACTGGCAGTGATCACAGACGATGACTTTTGAATTTGATGTGTGATTTTGATGCATGGTCATGCAACAAAGACCAGTTTTTCCAGCTGTCCTGCAGCCGAGGCCAGTATTTGCAGTATTTGTGTCATGCTATCATAAAGAAGCGGGCAGGGGGAGGAGGGTGTCTTAGTTAAACACAGATAGTGAGAAAGTGGGATGGGAGAATAGAAGGGATGTCATACTCTAGTGTCTGTGTGTGTGTGTGTGTGTGTGTGTGTGTGTGTGTGTGTGTGTGTGTGTGTGTGTGTGTGTGTGTGTGTGTGTGTGTGTGTGTG